AATTGTATTTAAATGGCAATATGTTCTGAAGGGTATTAACGGGATAAGGCAACTGCATTCATTTTTAAAAATAAAATTCAGGAATACAGAATATTATCTGCTTAAATACAGATAAAGAGAGAATATAAATCCACAAACTAAATGTATAAACAAAGAGAACCTTGACTGAAAATAGTTTCAAAATTAAAAGTTCAATATTCAGTATTGAATTTCAAAAGCTAATTTGACAAAAGAGTAAGCAGGTCTGAATTTTTGATTTTTTTTTTAATTTTTAACTTTTAAAAAATTTCTTGTTTAATAGAGGAAATGTACCAAATCGCTATTAATGACACAAAATGACTTTTTCAGCATACTGGGAAATTGTATGGGACAACCCCTTGGTGGAATTCTCCCTTTATATTTGAACATTATATTAATATATAAACTAAGAATATTTAGTGAATATTTATGTGTTGAAGAAAAAGAAATTCCATAACTCAATGCAATCTTTATTTATTTTCAAGAATGTTTTTGTACCTACAGAAGTTCTTCCCTTGCATCCTGTTCTAAAGCAATACTTTCCAAACTTTTTCCTTCACTGATTATCAGAAAGTTCATTTTACTCAATATAGGTAAAACACATTAAGTCAATTTAAATGTCCCTGTCCCGATTGTGTAATGGTTCTGTGTGTATTACCTACCCACCCCACCCCACTCCTAAAAAATCACTTTTACTCAATTTTTGTTAATTTACCCAGGTTTAGCAAACTCTGCTGTAAATCCCTGAAAACTGCCTCCAAATTGCCGCTCTAAATCTCTATACATTCGAAGCTGGATTAGGTTCTAAATCCTTTGGAACCTCATTTTGGAGTAATGTGGGGAAAGATTTAGAACATTACTGCCAACATAAATTAAGATTTATGATGATTACTATTATTATTATGCACCATTAAAGGTAATTTCTTAATTTCAAATCTATTTTTCTGTGTGATTAAAAAATACCACTTAAGGACATAGATTTCTAACCAAGGGAAGACTTGCAGCAATATTGTAATATTAATATTATTCTACATTCTATATCTAGAACACGTTATACTTGCTAACAACTCATGTTCTTGAATTCCAACTCAGCTTGCTGATTTTTTTAAATCTATGGGATTGATACTAAATTGGTCAAACTGCATGTAAGGTGGCTCATATAAAAACGTCAATATGACCATTCCAAGGGCAAGGTTTTATGGCTAAAAGCTGCTGCCATCAAAGAACGTGCTAGCCGTGGGATGGTAGCAGCCCAAGCCATTCATTTCCGCGGAGTTTGCCCTGGAAGCTCAGGACGCTGGGCTGTGGCCAAGGTGTTCAGAGACACTTTTTCTTGGAAAAACGAGGGAACGGAGCAGAGGAGGGAGGGAGAGAGGGCGGAGATCCTCCAGAGCCCCAAAGAAAAGCGCCCGTCCAACTTGCCCCAGGTACGTTTCCTCCTAACGCCGGGAGTTCCCTTTGCACTTCCTAATTCCTTTCGCTCACGTTCACCTTCCCTCCTCCCTCGCCAGAAAGCCTCTTCCTCCCCTCCCCTCCCCTTCCCTCCCCCCCCCCATCCTCCCGCCCTCTTTGGAGCTGACATCCCGTCTATCCGCCTCCAACACAAGACCTGGTCTCGCACCACCTAAACTTTTGACCCTCGCCTTTTTGACCCTTAACGCTATAATGGCTGCTCTCTCCAATCGGCCTTAGACGGCCTTAGTCCTTTGCCAGATTCCCGAACCTATACCGATCGATACTTCCGGCCGTCGTTCCTTCCCCAATTTTGCAATATGCCCCTCTCCATAATATATTTGCCCTCTGGGAGGGGAAAAAAAGTCGAAAGAACGAGGCGGCTGGAATCGTAGGGGGCAGGTCGCTTTTCTTCCCTCTGTTTAATGCCGGGCAGCAGTGGTGGAAAGTAGCCTCACACCCACCCACCCGGCTTCTCAGGGCAAAGCTTCTCGAGGAAAGGAGGACCCTCTCTAGGCGCAGCGCCGAGGAGGGCTGGAGAGCTGCTGTGAATTGGTCTGAAGCGAGCTCTGCTGGCAATACCGCGTTGTTACAAGCGCGGAGTTTCACTCGTCTTCCTCAGCTCCAGTTCTTTTTCCCCAAGCCTAAATCCACCAATATGATACTTCTATAAAGTTATTTTTAGGAGAAATTTTCAGTTTGTGTTTCTTGTGAAAAACAACAAATCCTTTCACAAAATGTGGAAAATCAATTCCAGAAGATTAGTCCTGTCAGGAACAGCCTATCCATCCTCAAAACCCTGAGGCTTGGCATTGTAAAATCGTATGCCCGCTCACAGGATCAGGAAAAACCTGCTGAATTGCATAGAGTTTGCCATCTGTAGAATGAGGGGGGACGGGGGGGAACCGCTATTCCCAAGGCTACCTGGTGCCTGGGAGCCAATTTTGGAGGATCAACTTGGTGAAATTGTTCGAAAAGGAAAAGAATGTCTGAATTTCAATTTCAAAGAGGAAACAAGTGAGGACTTCTTGACTTCTTACAAGAAAGAGCCCTACCTTCTCCAATGGTTAATTTGTATTTGATACTTAAAACCAAGGATGGGATCTTGGCATGGCAAGTACAGGTCAATTGCACCCAAAAACGGCATTCTGCCGAATCAAATTCATCGCTTGATCTGTTCTCCATCTTCTCAAAATTGATCATATCTTCCTCACCTACATTGTAAGAGAGAAACTGGCAGAGCCAGTAAATCTTCCTAAGTGAACTATTCTCTCAAAACTGCTTACCCTGCCTAGCAATCAGTTGGTTAACCAAAAAAAGGTGGGGGGGGGGTTGAAGAGGAAGGAAGGGGAAAAATAAGTAAAATCTCAAGCAATGGCTGGCATAACTGTGGCTTTCCTCAGTTAGAAAGAAAAGGTGTTTAAAGGGCTGCAACTATCAACAGGAGAGAAGGGCAATTTTTCATTTTATCTTCAAAGAAACCCTGGGTATGTCCCCAAATTCCCACAAAATGATGGTTTCCTATGAAATGGACTTCTGAGATGAAATGAGATGTTTCCAAGGCAAAACCTTAATGTTTGCAACATTCTAAGTTCTTCCCATTACTCTACAGTTTTGGAAATTGTTTGTGGGGTTGAAGGTGATACTTAACGATAGGGACTTGAATGATAGGGACTTGCCTAAAACTGCCCAGGAAAGCGTCTGAAGATGTTATCACACACACAAGCCTTAGAGGGGAAAAGGAAACTTTAAAAGAAAAACATAAACAACCAATGCAGCAAGATAAGAATGAAAGAAGTTGGAAGAAAGCTTGCAAAAAAAGGGGGGAAAGGGGAAGTCTAGTGACATGAATAGGGCTTAAAATGGGACACTCCCAGAGCACTTGAAGAGAAGTTTCCCGTTGCATTTGTACAGGGAAGTGGAGGTCCTTCCCCTTCAGAGATGCCTGCTCTTTACCTCTGTCTGCTGACCTAGGAATGATCCCCAGTGCCTATGAATTATTGATGAGCTATAAGAACCGTCCCCCACTTTTCAGTATGCAAACCCCATTACACTGTTAAAATGGCGATTTAATCGTTTGGAATAGCTTTGCTTTGCTTCCTCCTCACCCTTCTCCCGCCCCTCCACAGAACTCATTTGTGCCCCCTTTTCATTTAATTTTCTTAATTAAAATCCTTTCACAGATTTTAATTCCTCCTCCTCCTCTCCCTTTCTCTGTCCCTATATAAAAGGGGACAAGAGAAAGAAAAAAGCCGAACTCCACACCTTAAAAAACTATGTTGTATTTTAAATAATACCATTTAAACAAATTTAAAAATAGTATTACCATTATTCTTTTTAGTAAAAGGACAAATGAGCATTGACTATTGTCCTATTAATTAAATGTTTTAGATGCAATATTCAGTAACCTTTCCTTAGCAGTGACAAGGTATGTTAGAGGGGGAAAAAGAGAAAATAGATGAGAATTCAGGAAAAACTGAGACTGAGAGAAAAGAGGGGGAAACATGTGTTTAGTTCTATTCACGTCCTGCAATGTTATTTGAAGTTTAATCTCTAAAAGTAAAAATATAAAGAATTAGAATGAAGACAATTTCAGGGTAAATATATTGAAATCTCATTGATTTCAATGAGAAATAAGCAAATATCGCCTATTGAAATAAAGAGGATTTAAACATATACACAACTAGCACCCTTTTTAAAAATTCTATTAGCAAGTTGTTTACACACACACACACACACACACCTAACAAGTTTTCTTGCCTCTTTTTAAATTTTACTTACTATTTTTATGCTTTTAATATTTTATTGCATACCACCCAGAGTCCCTCTGTGAAGGAAATAGACAGTTCTTAAATGTGTGTGTGTGTGTGTGTGATCGTGTGTGTGATCATGTGTGTGTGTGTGTGTGTTTTGTTTTTGTTTTTGTTTTTTGCAGGATCTAATCTGAGTTGATCACTAGAACTAGAGATTTAGTCTTCCAAGCTTTCAAATTAGTGCTGGAGCCCATCTTCAGGGTATTTAACTCTCTATGTGTTTGTGTCTGTGGACAACTAGCAAATTGTGCACACACACACACACACACACACACACACACAGAGAGAGAGAGAGAGAGAGAGAGAGAGAGAGAGAGAGAGAGAGAGAAAGAAAGAAAGAAAGAAAGAGAGAAAGACCGACATGTTTAAAACTACTTCATGGGATCTCTGCCATTGTACAGCATCCTATAAACCAGCTAGAAAGCCAAAATCCTTGAATGAGATAAATAACATTCCTTTTGTTTCATTTGCTTCCTCACATCAACAGGATTTCGAAAAATAGGCTGTTTAGGACCCAATTTTGAATAGGAAATTCCAACTCAGAAACTAAGGAAAGGTGTTCCCTTTGTTATGAGAGCTATATTGTCCAATCTTCATCCTGTAAGTTATCTGTCTCCAAAGAAGCTCAGAACTGTTTGCTGCTTAACTGTATATCAGATATAGGTGTAGATAAACAAATGTGTCCCTATGTCTCTTTTGGTCTCTAAATGACAACAGGCTGGAAACAACGAGAATGATAATACTATATTTCTGGAGGGCACAGAAGAGTGTGAGAAAGGACATATGTATAACATCTCCCAATCTGTATGCAGAGCGGTGCCTGAAGGTGATATCCTACACATTGATTGGCCATCACTAGAACAAAGTTGCATTCAAGACAATTGCTTCAAAGAAGGGTATGTGATGTCTGCAAGTCACAAATCAAATATTTCATTGTACCTTTCCAGATTTAGCCAAAGGGCAGTGGCTTGTGAATTGCACAGTAAATCTGCATTAATTGTATCTATTTAAATGTGTATAAATATTTATATTTATGTGGGTTATACTAAGCCATTGTGAACTGTGGCTGTGAGCTTTCTACTGTGTATTTGTATGTGAGCCAGTATGAAAGAAGCATTCTTACAATAGTTTATACCCACACATGCGCCTTCAATGAATAGGGTAGACTGGTTATCATGAGGCCAATAGAGTTCAAGGGGAGTTTATGCATTGACTTCAAAGAACATTGGATCTGACCTTTCGTGGTCAAGAAGTCAGCTATTGTTGCCTGACAAATGTACTACTTAGAGAGGTGTATATTGGCTGGTTTGGAGCAGATTGCCTTCTCCTCTTCTTCAACACCCCCTCCTACACCCTTCACAATGTGTATGGGTGGACTGGAAACATTAATTGGAAAAAGATTAAAATGTGATGAATAAACTGGCCCATTTTTACTTTAGGAAAATGGTCCGGGATCATTCAAGGGTGGAAAACTGGCAGCAGCGGGGGCGGGGGGGGGGGATGACTATATATTTCTATGCATAGTTTATTTACAATTGCTAGTTATCTTAGTCCAATCACTTTACTAATAGCAAATCGCCATTTTAGCAACAAGAGCATCTATAGAAGTTTGCCACCATATTTCCTATTGAATATATTTCACGTGGGAAATATTTCTTTAATGTTTAGATGTAAGATTTAAAAATACTTCCATCAGTTTTAGAAATTCTTCCACTATGCCATACCTTCAAACTTAGACTAGTCATCAGAAGAACCTCAGAAAGATAAAGAGGATTAGGATTTTGCTTGTGGTAAAGTAGTTATGATTGTGATAATTTTATTGTGCAGAAAAATAGACTGCATGCAAGGTTTTTTGCTTCTTATTTATATTGTATGCCAGAACAATTCACTACTGAATGCTTTAAGGATATAGCATGGTGCAGTTTATAACAAGGAAAGGAATTTTGCATAGGAACCATCTGCTATCTAGATAGAATTGTCTTCCTGTTGATTCTGCTCTGCAAATTGTCTCAGTCTTTTTCAAAAGAATGATTAGTTTAAAAGAAAGAAAGAAAGAAAGAAATCAAAAGAAAGATAAATTCTTGCTTTCCTTTACTATGATGTGATTGCTATGATCCATTAGATATTTGTGGAGAATTAAAAGTAACCAGGATAAGATGAATGTCCCACAGAAGGGACTTAAAAATAAGATACTTAGTGAAAAGATTGTAGAAGTAGATGTAGAAGTAGCAGAAAAAAGAAAATGAGGACAGTTTCACCACTTATTTACTCACACTATTCAGATATATTTACCTTGGGGGGGGAGGGGCTGGAATGGAATGATGTAAGATTGCAGCAACATTTTCAAACTTTACCTTTCCTTTATTTTCTTCACCTGAACTAGAAGGAAGCAAAAGCACCACTTCCCTTTGTTCACAAATGCCCCCACCTTTGCTGTCTTTCAACACCAGATATCCCTTCTTGGCGCTAGTTCAAATACAAAAGAGAAGGGTCACTCTGTAGACAATGCTCCATATTTACATCAAAACCTCTGGTTCAGATCTTGGATTCTTGAGATACTCCAGGTATTCTTAGTTGGAACAAGCTTAGTTGGAACAATTAGTGCTATGCGGGTCCGCAGTGCAGTCTTTTGCCACTATCCTTGAGATTATCTCATACTGAGTTTAGCAATACTTAATTCTCAGTTCACTGTGCATATGGTCACTGTGGTTGCTATATTTGGAAAGACACAAGTGTACACATATAAGGGACAAATGCAAAGAAGTGAACAGAGAAGCTGGAAACATAGAAAAAAATGACTGTCTGAAGAAAACAAAGTAGAGAATGGTAAGAAAAAAGTTGTTGAGGGTAAGAATAATTAAACCTGTGGAATGATTATGAATATTTCTTTCACAATCACATTATGTCTTTTTAAGACTTGGATAGTGTTGCCAACAGTTTACTCAATATCAAAACACTTCTAGTTAGTATCATCTGATTGTTTACCTTAAGATGCTAGTGTTGGTAGAAAATAATGTCATATGCATTATTTTCCTTCCTGAGAAGAGATCATAGTATTTCATACACAGAATTGCATATTTGGTGCATAATCTATAACATTTAATCCTAAACTGGAGCATTTATTATTATTGTAAGATTCCAATCCAAATCACCCAATGCTATTTGTTTCCTAAGAAGCTCCACTCAGTTAGGTACAATATATTTCTATGCAGACTTGTATAAGAGTTTAATGCAAGCCTGCTTTAATTCAAAGGAGATTTAGATTCCAATGCTATGTTCATTAACTTAGAAATGTTTTACAGAATTCAGTGGAACTTCATTCTCTGATTGAAATCAGATTTCAAGGAACCTAACTATGGCTGGATCGCATCTCACTGTATGCCCTCCCTCCTTCTCCGTACTGCATGAGCATACAGATACAAACAAACATAATCAAAAGTGTGTTATACAGTGACAAAAAGAACACATTGAAAATAAATTTGAAAGAGATTATTATCTTCTCAACATTTCCTAAAAAGAAGGCTACATTATCACCTCCTTTTATAAGAAAATTAGTAACAAGAATTATTTTAAGCAACAATAAGAATTTCCTTAACCAACAACATGCTTTATAGTCTAAATGGGGAGAAAAGAAGCAATAGAAATTACCCCCTCTTATACAACCCCCAAAACATGTGTCTACCAAATGGCATGGTCATAAAACCTTAGTTTAAATGATTGAAGGGGGAAGGGTTTGAGCGGAAATGAGTAGAAAATGTAAACACCACAAATTGTTAAGACAAGAGTTCTCTCACCTTTACAGCCAAAAAGCAGCAGGGAATTGGCACAAGATCCCTTACACCCAAAGATTATCCTCTTTCAATTCTTAAATCAACCAGAGGTACTGGTTTTCAAGGTTTTGCCCTGTGTGATGGTGCTTGTTACTGTTTTTAATGGTGTCTTCTACAGTTCTGAACATTATTGGAAGAAAAACCTCCAATAAATGGTAAACATATTTCTGAGATGACTCTACAGCTCAAATTCAGAAATAGTTTCTACCAATACAGTACTTTTGAGGGGAAAGGTTTAATGTAAAGGGCTACAGTGGCAAATTAGTGAAATTTGGTGCTTATAGAGAAGTAAAGCTTCCTGAACTCTTTGATTTCCTATAATCTTAATTGAAGTTAATGGGAACCATTTACTGAAAAGGGAAAAGTTGAGGTGGTGGGTTTGGGAGGTCAAAGTTAAGCAGAGAACAGATAATTACTGATAATTGAGTCTACAATCCCAAACCATTTAGGTCGACAATATGACAATCCAGATCCTATGCTATTTTACTAGAAAATAAACACATGAAATAAACACGAGATTTATTTCCAAGCAAGGTATGTTGGTTAGGTACCAGAGGACTATACAACATGTTCTATTGGCATCTATGAAACCCTAAAGCCCTGTTTTATCAAGATCATGGATCGAAAAAGTTGTATGCTCTTATACTGCAAATGGAAGCTCTTATGAACCAGGGAGGGAGGGAGGGAGGGAGGGAGGAAAAGAAGACAAGAAAAGAAAAGAAAAGAAAGAGAAGAAAAGAAAAGAAAAGAAAAGAAAAGAAAAAAGTTTAATATCCCAATCAGATATTTCCCCAATCTTCCCCAATATAGACTAATATGTTTATATTAGTTTTCACTGACAAAAAAGATAACTACACCAACCAGCTCTTCTAAAGTTAAATCATTAATTCAGTGCCAGGACTTTCTACTTAGATGATCCTTATTAGGAAATATCAAATTATTTTTTTAAAAAACTTTTATTGTGAACATCTAGATTAGGCTACCTTGAATTTAATCTACTAATTTTCCTTTTCTTGAGGAGATCAAAGAAATAGGAGTCTTTAAAAATATTTTTGGGAAACAGATCTCCGTGTCATCCTTTTCTATTTCAAAAATCTAGTCTTTATAAAGGCTCCGGAAGTGATTTTAAAAAAACCTGTCCTATGAATCAAGTATCTGTCAATGAAGTTCAACTCATAAGTGAATTAAATATAAAACAAGGCATACATACATAGTGTACTTGTATGCATCCCACAATGTTTGTGTGAGTTGCATGCCCTCAAAATAGCTTACATAGCCCAAGTAAATAAAGGGAAGGAGAAGTACACATACTTATTTTCTACCAGAAAATCCTAAACTCTATTCTATGGCCACAAACTTTCACAAGATATTTTTTTTTGATGAACTGTGGCCTTTCCTGTGGCAACAACAAGTGGATATTTGCCGCTATGCTGTGGATAAAAAGAAGGAAGGAAAGAGGAATTCTAGAGAAAGGGGGATGACATAATTGTTACAGCAAGAAAAAAAAAGTCCTGAAACCAAATGCTTAAGGGGGGGGGAGTAGAAGCTGGAGGAAATGGGAAAGTGTGGATTAAAAGCAAAGTGTCAAATTATTTATACAGAGCTTTTTAAGATAACAACAACCCTGCTTGGAATTGCTTATATCTATGATGCTACCTTAATAATTCTTAGACCCTTGATTAGGACTTTAATTATTAAATTTTCACCAGCCCTAGACTGTGAATCTGCAGATTACTACTACTAATAACAATAATAAAGCAAGTCTCAGGGAATACACATTGTTTAAACCATTCTCACCCTTGCACCTCTGACTCCTAAAGGTAGCTCACAAAAGTCAATCCCACACATTTTGATAGAAGTCTGTCCTTAAGCAGTTATGCTTAAGCTTCTGACATCAAAACACTCCCAAGAATTCAATACATTCCCAAAGTACTTTATAAGGCTAATAAATTGGAGTGAATACATATAAAGCCCTATTGGTGTATTTCTCTATGCTAATAATATGTCATTATTAACAGTTAACTCTGTTGTTGTTGTTGTTTTCTTGTTTCCAGCAAGGCATATGCTTTTAAAACAAAAATTATTGTGGGCCACACTCAGGTAATTCAGGGGCCTTGGCGACAGTGTTCTCACTGAGATTTTATGCAAAAGAAAGTTTCTAAAGGAGACGGAAACCCCTCCCCCTAGGCCCCCGCTCCCCGCCCCCCCTCCGCCCCATCTGTAACAACCTGGTTCTTTAAAACTCATTTAAGCAGATAGTATTTCAAGAGAACTTACTTTAACGTTAGCAGCTCCTAAGTCCTCTTTGGAGTAAACAGTGCACCATCAATGCTTCCTATTTCTGCAATGGAGCTGCCTTTATCTGCCTGGAAAAGTGTTCTCCCTTTCCTGCCCCCTTCCAAGCCAAAGCAGGCAGTTAAAATGTCACTTAACATTCTGGAGAATGTGAAATATATTGTACATTGTCAACTCCCCAAAACCATAAAACTAACTTTATGGACCTCACGTGACTTTTGAGAGCCAGTGAGGGGTATCTGGCTGAGGTCTGGGCGATTTTTACGATCTAACTTCTAGATAAAACCCTATCCATTTGACATCTTAATGTCACAGCCACTTTTGGTATACTTACTTACTTTACTACGGGTAAAATATATACATGCGTGCATGTATGTGTGTGCGCGCACAGGGCGAGTGTGGTGTGTCTATGTATATTCAAGAGAAGGCGAGAAAATGGGTTGTTTTGGAAATGACAACTCACACCCCAGCCCTCTCAAAACCATTTTAAGAAGTAACCAAAGAGTTTGGGGTAAGTTTGTAAGACCAATTTTACTTACTACAAGTGTGTCAGAGAGAAAGAGAGAGTGAGAGAGAGAGAGAGAGAGAGAGAGAGAGAGGGAGGGAGAGAGAGAGAGAAAGCAAGAGAGAGAGACAGAGAGACAGAGAGAGGGAGAAAAGGGAGGGAGGGAGAGAGGGAGGGAGGGAAGGAGAACATTGCTGTAAGCTATAATTTAAGAATCTCAAAGACTACTTATTTCCCTGTTGCAACAGACTTTAATCATAGCACTGTGATTTAAAGGGAGGAGGGAAAGAAAAGAAAGTTAGATTACCAGATTAATTTTTAAAGGGAAAAAGAAAAATTGGCTAATGCACATTGTTTATTTTAGCTCTGTTGAGACAACTGTGATTTTCCATCCTGAATGCATTTTGTGTGTGTGTGTGTGTGTGTGTGTGTGTGTATTTGCAGGATTGTATAGAACCAAACAGAACAGATAATAACATATGTACTTAGTTCTAAAATTTCACTGGCATGTTGTCATTCTGTGATAACTTCAGTGGCTCCTTAAATGCTTGGTCTGTGGTCTTTGAAGCTGTAATCTGAATCACATTTACTTGAAAGTAAAGGCCTTAAAATGAGATAGAACTTTTTTTTAATCAAGAAAATGCTCTTTTCTCCTTAGTCTAAGGAGAAAAGGAATTTTTGAGAACTGAACAACTGGTTTCTCTTCTTTTTTCTGAGTTGTGCTAGTTCAGCATATAATACCGCTTACAGGAGATTATTTTGTATCCTTGGCTCATTAGAGATTTTAGGGGAATGGAACAAAGACCCCTAAGGAGAACCTGGAAGCTGGGTCAAGCGGTGGGTGAAGAGTATACACTTTCTCTCTGGGCCTCTTCTTAAAATGTAGATTTTGCTGATGAGTAACTTTAATGCTGTGACTTGTGAAAATGGTGGAATAAAGAAATGCAAAGAAGGGCACTATTTTTCTGGCCAGGAGAAACGTTTATTTGACTTCAAGTTAAGGCTACAAACCAATACGAACAGCGTCTTGGCAAGGATGAGAACAGGCAGCTAGACATGACAAATGCCATTTCAGACACACAGAAACACTGAATTCACCCTGCCCACTAAAACTTCCTATTAGTCACTGTAGAAATATTTCTAGTATTTACAAACATTTTAAACATACTATGGTTGGTCCAATCATATACCCTTTTAAAGTGAACTTCACTCACATTTATTTAAAAAAGAAAGAAGGAAAGTTGCAGAACTGGCCTGGGATAAAAACAAGGCCAGGAATCAAATCACAGACTTGACAATTTCAAAGACAGATACATGAGCTTATATAGAGAGATATACTGGGTTTCTTTTTTTTTATAAAAAAAAAAAAAGGTTTGTTGTGGTTGATGGTTTTTAATTTTCTTTCTTTTCTTTTCTTTTTTTTTTCCTGCTACTGAACTGCAGGAGCCCCCCAACGTGAGTAGAAGGAAAAGAGGTAGGGTTCCTCACAAAGTTGTGAACTTTTAAGAACCCATCTTTCCTTCCCCATACTGGCTTATAAATAAGTTATAACATTTAAAAAGCACATTAAAAGAAAGAAAAGAAAAGAGAAAAGAAAAGGACATGCTAACTTCTTCCAGAAAGCATCATTATAGCACGGACACAAACATTTAGAACATCTAAAGCATCAAAGAAGCCTCTGGACTTTATATTTTAATTTAAAGGGGGTGATTGCAGCAAAAGACACAATCCTGGAATAATAGTACCCATGAAATTGTTTATTATTATTATTATTAATAATAATAATAATAATTAAAAAATCAACAGCATGCTGAATGGAAAGTGCTTCACTTTACAGTACTCCAAACTTAACAAAAAAAATCTGGCTGTTGCTTTTCGTTTGCTTGCTTGTTTTAAACTTTCTTACTTCCTGCCCCCTCTTTCCTATTTCTTAATATTCCTCCTTGATATAATTTATGGCTGAAAAGCACTACCACCAGATGCTAAGCTCATACTTTTGAGTTTGTTATCTTTCTTCCACTTCATTCGCCTGTTTTGGAACCAGATTTTTATCTGTCTTTCGGAGAGACACAAAGCGTGGGCTATTTCTATTCGCCTTCTGCGGGTGAGGTAGCGGTTAAAGTGAAACTCCTTCTCCAGCTCCAAGGTCTGGTAGCGAGTATACGCCGTTCGGGCTCGTTTGCCATCCGGTCCGGTCATATCTGAATAATAATAACAACAGGACATGGGAAAAAATGCCTTTTGTTGGTCTGGTTTCTCTTTTTAGATCACAGGCACAGAAAGAAACCGCGCTTTCAACTGTTTCCTCCTCGGTCGCCTTACACTGCAGACAAATGCCCCAACGATTTGAGTACACGGCTTCTCTGCGTCTCCATTTCCTCCAAGTCAATATCCTTCGTTTTAATCTGGCTCCAGCCTTAATTATAATTAATTTAAGTCCATGCCCCACTCTCCTCACATTCCCTACAGCCCTCTAAATATATATATATATATATATAATTTCCAGGAGTCGAGAACAAATCTGATTCTACGCAGGTTTCTTCGGAGGAAACTGCTTCTCTGGGGGCCTGTCTCGCAGTTCAGGGAGTCTGGTCTCGGAAGACAATCTCCGAAACCCAGCCTCTTCGTGTCTCTCTTCCCTCGGCCTGTTTCATCTCGTCAGTCCAATTCGACTGGCGATCTAAACAGGCCGCCTGGAAGACTGAGAAGCAATTCTCCGAGGCACCTTAACCCTCCCCACCTCCAGTCTCGGCCACATTTCACTGGAAGTGACTTCCGCTGAAATCCTTAAGGGCTCGCTTTCCCACCCAAAGAGAGTTAGCCTCGGCGTGCGAAGCGAAGGCAGTTCCTGCTTCCAGCTCTGAGGCGCACACCCTTCTTTCATTTTTACCCCAAGGGTTGAAGGGAAAGGCAAAGAGTTTGCCACCGCCACATTTCGCCCTTTGCAGACGGGGAAATGTGGGGCGGAGGGGGAGGGGGAGGAAGAGAGGTTGGCAGGCACATCTGTGCCCCAAACAGCCTTCCTGTTTTAACCCTTCGCCTTATCATTCCCATTTCTTTTCTTGTGTTTTTCCAATTCTTGCTACTTTCAGCCATCTCCCACCCTTCCGCTCTCCTGGTACAAGGTTGTTACAAGCGCTCTTATTATTGTTACCATCAATGCAGCTTGACTTTTGCCATGCTGATAAAACTCTTATTTTTTAAAAAAAACGGGTGGTTGTTTTTTTGTTTTGTTTTGGTTTTTTTTTTTTTTTTTTTTTTTTTGAAAGAGAAGAAAATACTCTTTAAGAATCGAACGTTTACAGTGAAAGAAACAAGACACTGAAAGCAAATAGAAAAGGGCATCTAGAGAGAGACAGGAAAGTGGTTTCACAATGCGAGTGGATTCCTTCTCCCGTCGCCAAAGCAAATACGTCCTGCCAAAATCCTATATTTTATGTGTATGTGTGTGTATGTATGTACACACACACGCACACACGCGCACGCACGCACACACACACACAGACTACAGACTCGGAGAGAGACAGACAGACAGAAGGCGCAGGCACACATCGCATAGATCACCCCAGCCAAATTAAAAAGGAACAAGTCTGTACCGTGGCTAATGTGAAGCTTTCGCATCCAGGGGAATATCTGCGGGCTTTGTCCTTCCGTGGCCGGCGTGGAGGTGGCGATCGGCTCCGCCTGAGCTCGGGCGCCGTTGCTGTTGACTTGGGAGCCGCTCTCTTCGGGCCCCGAGGACGCGCTGGTCTCGTCTATCTCGGCAAACGCGGTGGCGCTGGCCGCGCCGACAGAGGCTGCCTGGTCTGCAGGGGAAGACCCGGCTGCCTTGCCTCCATGGCTTTCGCCACCGCCGCCACCGCCGCCACCGCCGCCACTGCTGCCGCCGCCGCCGCCGCTGCTGGTGGTGCTGGTGCTGCTGGAGCTGCTGGTGCAGGGAAGGGATTCGGGAGAAGACAAGGAGCAGCTGGACGCCTGTCTGAACCTGCTTTCGGGCGCTGCTTGGGCAGGGAAGGCGCGAGAGCTCTCCCCAACCGCTCCAAAGTGGCTGGAGGAGGAGGATGATCGGCTGATGCTCAGATCCATTCCATTGTAGTTGTATCCCCCGTAAGAGCCGGCGTGCATGTTGCCTGGATCTCTATAAGATCCGTTCATGGAACTGCCGGCCCCATAATTTAACAGCTGATAGTCTGGGGCATTAGGATAGCGTCCTGAGAACGAGTTTACAAAGTAAGAACTCATTTGGGTTTGTATTTTGGAGGGCTTGATTTGTGGGGCTCGTGGTCGTTATAACCCCTGTGCTTGAGGATTTATGATGTATTAATGAATTATAGCGATGCACTGTACTTCGTTTTTGCTATGTATGCGGCCAAATATGGGGGTGGGGTGGGGGTGCGTTTGGGAATCACGTGCTTTTGTTGACCAGTCGTAAATTCTCACTGATGACCTCAAGAGGCAATTCATGCTCTATGGTTACAAATAATGACGATCCGAGAATCGTTAGGCCCATGTCAATGCGCGGCTTCCAAAGAGGGAGGAAAAAAGGGGGAGGAATCAACCAGCACAGATCGCTCCTTGTTGGCATTGTGCGCCACCTACTGGGCAAATAAAAAAGTAGCCGACAGGGAGGTTACCTCACTCACCTTTTTTTTTTTTTTAAGCAGTCAAGCGCTCAGTTTTTGTGTCCTCTGCCTTTCTAGAAATAAAATATTTTTTCCCCAAAAGTGTCGTTTCTGTCTTTGTTTCTCTACTTTCTCTCTTTCTTCCAGAGGAGAACATGCTTTTCTAATGCGGAAAAGAAATTTTCTTGTTATAGTAGATGCAGTATAAAATTGTTGCTATTACTATTATGAATAACAGTTGTTTAATACCAAATAATAATCCCGGTGATGATTTTGCTTTGATATTAGAAACGGTTATTCAGGGCAAAATTTATTCGGGTGAAAATCAAGATGACAATTCTTCTTCCTTTCCTGTCCCCCCCCCTTTTTTTTTAATTTGCATCTCCTACTTAGGAGTCATTATCAACATCAAAATTTGCTTGAATGTTTTTGCATTATTATTATCATTATCATCGTATTATTTCTACTACTTTTCCTACACCTAAAATACCAGTACAAATAACAGAAGGGAAAATCACTTATCTTGACATTATGTGTGCCCCTACCCCCAAATAATCAGCAATATGATGAATTGTACAACTGGCAATCTCTTGAGGGAACTGTTTCCAATGAAGAGGCTTCTCAACGTTCATATAAATTACTAAAATGTTTGGTAATGATCAATTTTATAATGATGGGCCAGGTTTGGATTTGGAATGTTTTGTTTTTGTCCAGCCATGTCACTATTTTCTTTTCCATTCTTCTTCTGCCAACCTACAAGAATTTGCAAAAACCAGCTTGCAGCTCATTGAAAATTATGAGCCATATTGAAACTGGTACATAATCATAATAATCACAGCTACTAAAAAGTGTAGCAATAAGAATAAGTATTATGCAGCTGCAAGACTTCAGAGTATATGATTTCATTGTATTTGGGGTGGGAAGGAATTAATGCATGTATACTAGGGCATTTGAGATGAGAGTGTATTAGAAAGGAAATTATTGTTTCATCACTTTTTTCTGTTTTCAAAAAAAGAATAAATAATATAAAATAGTAAAAACAAACAAACGGGGGATAACTGTTAAGAGTTTGCTAAGGACAACAGCAAAGAACTGTTAACCTTCCTTAAGTAATCAATGTTGGAAAGGAAAGGAAAGGAAAGGAAAGGAAAGGAAAGGAAAGGAAAGGGAGTTAAAGGAAAAATAGATTCAGCGTTCTCTTCTTTTTTAAAATACCACCTGAATAATTCCTTTATTTAACCCCTTTTTCTTTTTATCACAGAACATTAATAGCTCACAGTCTCATAATTTAGCTTAATTTGGAGTGAGATATTAAGGCTTGGTTAGATGGCTTGGGAAAGGGGATTGGGGAGATTTACCTAAGAGGAACTTGAGCCAACGTTTGAGAAAGGCTATGAAAATGTTATGTATGTTTTAGCAGATGTAGAATGGGACAGAGAATTATGCCTGTTTCTTTGATTTATTATATGTGTGGTGTGCGCCCCACATAACTCTTTTGTGCAGTAACAATAAAAAAAATCCATATTAAAGTTAAATGTCAGCTCCAATATATTCTTGATGAAAAGGTCTTTTATTTAAGTTTAGGCTAAGCAACTGGAAGTGCGGGGGTGGGGGTTGAATATATTTTTCATTCTCTAACTTCTGTAGTGTTTAAGGAATTGTTTCCTTATTAAGGAAATTGCAATTTTTTTAATCAGATTTTTAAATTTCTTTTTTACTACCAACCATACACCTCATGTAGATATAGATATATTTCTCAGAAACGATGTGAGGAGAAGGAAACACATCCTAAATTATGAACATAACAAGTGTTTTTCTCAATGTATTTGTTTTTATCTTTTTTATTGTTTTTATAGGTCTTTTAAAATCTCCATAGCTAACACAAACTACAAATACAACACTATACAAATTGTAATAAAATAAAACCGATTTAAAAAAAAAAACTCTTTAAAAAAATCCACCATACTTTTTAGGTTGCAATTGTTCCTTTTTAATATAATTTTGCTTAAAACAATAATCCTTAAATGACAGAGAACCCAGGGCTTGATTAACTTAATTTTATATAAAAAAGCAAACAAATAAGTAAAATCGTGCATGACACTTCTGTTTTACAAAATAAAGACAATCAAATAGCCCGAAACCTGACACATATATTGCAGCACCTCCACTTAAATACAAGGGTTAACAAGAATCCTAAGGAGGACACCCAAAGGTAAATCAAACAAAACAAAACACAACCACAATCCCATCTGTGGAAAAGGGAAGGGGCAATAAAGAGGGTGGGAAAATAAATTGGACTAGAAACATGGTTATGATACGACAAATTCAATAATCCAATGCAAGTGAGGGTGTAAAAGGACAACACCGCCATACAGTCTCAAATATTTTACAAAAATGTTTGTCCCAGTTGTGCCTTTTGGGTGGGAGGAGTTGTCATTTCTGGAGCTCCCCAACTGTTGACATTCTGCTTTCTTCCCCATTCATTCATTCATTCATTCATTCACTCTGCATTCATTCGGGCTCTCGGTTTTCATTCTCTCTCTCTCTCTCTTTTTCTCTCTCTCTCTTTCTCTCTCTCTCTCTTTCTTTCTCCCCCCTCCCCGGTTCTGCTCTTTCATTCCGTTGGTTTCTCCTCTTCTTCCTCGGCGCTCAGCTGAGTGGAGTTAAGGAGCTTGTTTTCCTTTTTCCATTTCATCCTTCGGTTCTGAAACCAGATTTTTATCTGGCGCTCCGTCAGACACAGGGCGTGAGCGATCTCGATGCGTCGGCGCCTGGTCAGGTAACGGTTAAAATGGAATTCTTTCTCCAGCTCCAGAGTCTGGTAGCGTGTATAAGTCTGCCGGCCTCGCCTGCCACTCGGCCCAAAGGAGGAACCTGGTGGGGATGGAGAAGAAGGCAAACGTGTGCTACTGAACATTTACTGGAGTTACACATATACAACATGCCAATGTCTATGCTACGCGCCAGAGTGTGTTGTTGTGAGTTTGTGCGTGCGTGTGTATATGTGTGTGTGCGCGGGAGGGGGAGGGAAAAAGACCCTTTCCCTGCAGTAATCTCCCTACTCCAAGTGGTCATGCTCTCTTGTCTCCAACCCTTAGCGATCAAAACTCACTGTCCTACCTAATAGAAGGGAAAATCGAACCCACTCCTATCTGATTAGGTTTTAGCTTTGTGTTTTGGGAACATTTCTTTTTCCAGAATAATTCTGTTTCACGTTTGAATTGAAAAGTTGGAGATACACTTCCCAGATGTTCTTTGCCTGCCCCTAGCTGAGTCCCACTGGGCGCCCAGAGAGCTCAGCTCGAAAACTTGCAACTCCACCATACAATCTGTTTTGTTTGCTTGCATGTTTATCTTTTTTCAATAAGAAGGGTAGGAGAAAACTTTGGAAAACAGTCCTGTAACTCAGAAGCCTACTGTTTCTGGTTTTGTTGGGGTGGGTGGGTAGTTGAGCGAACTGCTTCTTCACCCAAAGACTCTCTCGGTCTTTTTCTCCCTGCAAACTCTCCTGAGTGCCCTCCTGAGCAGTATTCACAGGGACTAAAATTGCTGCGCTGGGACACTTGCTTGGGAATAAATCCCATTCCTCGCCTGCTGCAGTTCTCCGAGAAATAGGCTTTGAACACGCTGTGGGGCTCTCAAAATCAGCAGCACGAAAAGTGACTTAAAAGGGGGGGGTATTTAAACGAAGATAAGTAACAGCACTCCTGCACACAATTGAGTGTCTAGGAGCAATGGTATAAAGGTTAATATGTATATCTATCTATATATTAGTGTGTGTGTGTGTGTGTGTGTGTGTGTGTGTGCAATAGAGTGACAAGATTTGGTTTAAGAGAGTTATCTGTGCATTTCCTTCCCGCACTTCCATTAGGAAAGAATTAATGTCCAAAGTTAAGAATTCTTTTTATCTTGTGCTCCCTTCACTTTTTCTGGACAGCCACCTCTGACCAAGTTTCTTTCCTTATGTAGTTCTTAGTCTGTCCTCTCTTTTATTTCTATATTCTCTGCCCCTCCGCTATTCAGCTCTAATTGCTTTAGTCTCCAGAACTTAATTGAAACACCTACCTACCTACCTATCTACCTATCCATCTTCTACCTACCACTCTGTATTGATTTCCCTTAATTTCCCCTCCCTTTGGAATGTAGGGATGGGAGGAGGAGCTGTGGCTGGGTCTTTATCATTCTTTAAATGAATTTTCATGGAAATTATGCACCTGGAGGCAGTCGTTGATCAGAAAGAAGGTGGGGAGAGTGAATGAAAGAAAAACTATCTATAACTTCCTCTTCAGGCAGGCATTCAATTACGCTTGAGTTTCATTAAAAATGTAGCTCTTTCTTTTCAAATATTTAAGCCCTCCTGACATTATACATCTGGCTGAATATGCTGAATATGCCTTTGGCTGAATTGGCACAGGAGTATCATGTCTGTATCACTGTGGGGAGGAGGAGAGAGAGAGGTGTGGAAAAGAAGTTGAAATCCAGATATATTGAAAACAATTGGGGACAGGGGGTCAGTTTGATAGCAATTGCATCGTGTGAGTGTGTGTGCACGCGCGGATGAGTGCGAGTGCCAAGACACCTTTCTAAATCACCCCTAGTGAGTGACAGCTAACATTGCCTTCTACAAGAGAGAACCCCTCAGTCAATAAATATCTGGGCTTTCAGTTGCAGAAAGTTGGGGAAGAGAGGAACTTACTCTAGAGAAGTTCCTGCAGATAATATGACAAACATACAAACAAACAAACAAGCCAGGCGGCGCCTTTGAAGCACAGCGTAAGCAGTGCAAAAAAGTTTGAAGGAAGTTTCTGGCTGTACTGCCTGCAGCTTCAGATTAGAAGAAAAACATTTCCTGCTCTATCTGGGTAGCCATCTGTCACCTAACGTGATTGGGAAGAATGAGAGGGGGGAAAGCAACTTACTATTGCAGGAATTCATTCTCTGCATCCAAGGGTATACTGGCGTGGAGCACTTTTGATCCTCGTTGTCCCCGAAAACGTGCTTGCTCTGTGAGCATTCTGACTTCCGGGCTTGTTCCTGGCCGAATTGAACAGGCTCCTCTAGGCTCGAAAGAGAACAGCCTGTCTCTTTCTCCCTGTAAAAACCAGATGTCCCGTAATCGCAGGCTGGACTCCGGTTGTAAGCTCCGTTGGTTTGCTGGTAGTAAGGCGCGCCCGCGTAACCTTTCTCCTGGACCCCACCGCCCCCAGTTCCATACGTGCTGGGATAGTGCCTTAAAGGATCCGCGTAGCCCGTGGAATATAAGGGGAGCTGTCCCAGGAACGGTTCTTGACCCCCGGCTAAGCTCACCGGAAAAGTAGAGTTGACAAAATAAGAACTCATTGGAAATAATAACAATAACAATAATAATAACAATAACAATAATAATAGTTAACCAGAAGAACAGCGTCTGTTCTTTCTCTTGCTCTTTATGATTTGTTGCGTTTTATAGTCCAAGCGGTTTAGCTATTAGCAGTATATGGGAGATTGGGTTTTAGCTGAAGGGGGATGGCCGCGTGCCAACCAGGGACATAAGGGAAGAGAACCATCTGATCACGCGCTGACCAATAGCAGGAGTCGGAGGCTGCGAAATAGCACCCTAGAGGGGTTAGCTCTGCACAGGGGACCCCCCAGAACAAACCAGTGAAAGCATCCCTGCCACCAACACTATCACCTTTAAACAACAGAAACGCCCCCCCCCCATGCACCACTCTTTACCCCTGTTTCTCTCCCCACCCCCTTTATCACGTACTCAGTATCTAGGAAAAGATAAATCCAAAGCTATTTGGGGATATATATATACACATATTTGGTAGTAATAAACAAACATGAGAAAAGTGAAAGATATGAAAAATGACACCAATCTTATCCATGCTGCTACCCTGGAGAGGGAGGAGGAAACCATGGGAAATATTTTCAACTTGAAAAGTTTGTGATTTTCATATAAGTACCTGGAGGAGGAGGAGGAGGAGGAGGAGGAGGAGGAGGAGGAGGAGGAGGAGGATGGGAAGGCGTATTATCTCCCTCCTCCACACACACCTTTGGGTTCAATTGGGGGCAATGGGAAGCCTTTACTGTACAGCCAGTTCAAGCGCTCAACTGCTGGATCTGGAGAAGGGAAATAAATTCCAGCGAGCGTCTTTTGGTGCGTCTTCTGAGCTCAGGACAGAGCTCAGAATTTTAAATTCCTCGGGAGGTACGACTGGGCATCTGGAGGATGGGGTTATGATTTATTCTCCGCACACCCCTCCCATCTCCAACTCCTACTCCCACGCGGGTATGTGTTTCTACCCTCACGCGCCTATTTTGTCCCTCCGATCTAATCCAATCCCTCCCGTGTAAATTTGCGGCCCCGTGTCCGAAGTCCGAGAGAGCCATTGCGGGTGTTTGAGCTCGGCTCCCGCGACATTCTGCGCAAAGAACGGTGCCCTCTTGCGTTTTTACGGTTCAGGCCGGATCTTTGGACAGGTTAGAGTTAAAAGCAGCGGCTGGTCTGACTGCCAAACACTCCCCCCCCCCGCCTTTATTGATCACCTAACATCAAAAATTATTAAATTTAAAGCAGGGGATAGTCCCGGGGTGAAAAACGTCAGGATGGTTGATATGAATTTTGGAGGCAAAGGGGGAAATTCCGGTTTTCTATTTTTGTGCGTTTGAGCTTGCAGTAAATTCGGGAATAAAATTAAACTCGCTTCTAATTCGTTGATCTGCTTTAAAACTTTTTAAAAAGATAACTATGAAGGGAATGAAAAAGTTGACCCAAAGGCTGGAGTTTGGCGTTTGACTTCCTCTTCGCCTCACCAGTTCTCACACTTGGCGGGCGAGCCTCGATCTCCAGCGATAAAATTACCCTGCCTTTGGCGCGGTTATGACAGATAGTTTAAAAGAGATGTGCCCCTTTCCTCCCCTCTCCCCAATTCCACTTCTTTTCTATGCAATTGTGAATTCAAGCAATTTATAACAACGTTCCAGTTTCTTCGGAGTAGTTCCAAATTGTAAAATGCTACTTGCCGGGTGTATCATTTTCCCACCATTGTCATCTCATTCTCTCTGTGTATCTCTGTCTCCCTTGCTCCGTTTTACCGACCAATTTATCCATCCGTTCATCCATCCAGCTCATGTTCCATCTTTTCACGTAAAATAGCCATTACAGCTGTGCTGTTTTCGATTCTCAAAAACTTTGGAGCACTGTTTACCTAGCTCACTTCTTTCATCTCCAATCTACAAACATACACACCTCTTTCTAAATTCACCCATTCTCCTGATTCTCTTTACCTACCACAGGATTTCCCTGCACTTTTGGACAAATGAAACTGTAATGCAAGCTCTCTCTCTATCATCCCTCGATTACAGATGTGCAATCTGTTCATAAGAATTCTCCACCACACACCCTCAATTGCTCCCAGACCGGATTTACATGGCAATGCTATCCCTGCAATGACCAATGCGATTTTTTTCTGTCAAGGCTTAAGGAACCACAAAATATGTTGGCTTACTATCTAATTTGTTGGCCTCTGTTTTAATGGCATAAAAACCCACATGGTCCCAACACCACTATGATATAACTCTTAGAATGAAAGGAAATTGCAAGCAGGGGGAATAATTTTTGTTTGTTTGTTTAAGGCACTCTCTTTTCTTTTCTCTCTCTTACACACACGCGCGCGCGCACACACACACACACACACACACAAATTACTCTGGTCTTTGATTTGTGTTCCTGCTGATTCTTTCCCCCTGATCCTTTATGTTCTGAGTACATCCTAACTTTAAATTAATCTGTTTTACTGATATGTAAAAACGGAGAAAATTGGGCGGAAGAAGAGTAAGAAAATGGATCTGAGTAACACCCCCCCCAATTAATTTCAAATCCACACAATACTTCTGTTCCTTGCTTAATAACAGGGAAATCTCACAGATTGGCAAGAATCCCTAAATGGATTATTTGGTTAGTTAAGTGAGTAAATGTGCTACTTTCTGAACTTTTAATCTTAAGAACTGGTACTGGAAATACACATTGTGGATGGGTGAGTGTAGGCAAAGAGGCATTGGTCTGGTAAAGGATAGCTTAGGGAACAGAAAATAGCTAAAATTGAAATATATAATAAATAATTAAAGAGTCTTTAATGTATACTCTTTACAATGGAAAAAGCCTAGTCTTTTTCAAACCTGTTTGTGTATTGCAGAAAAGTTTCACTATTCAAACTTCGCAATTCAGATGGAACATTTTAAATGATGCAAAATTTTTGAAACTTTAAATCTGAAAATAGGTAAACTCGAAAGTTAATCCACTGATTGATTTGTCCTGTGCTAGTAGTTATTTATTGTTCAAATATGAAGACAAAAAAACTTCCCACAGTGCCAAATCCTGGAAATAATAACTGCTTTCAGTGTAACACATGTATTTTGATTTTATAGCTTTTAAAAAGAATAAATCAATACCTGAAAATGAGCCGAAAGCCTACTGTACGCTATTCTACCTTTTAAGTTGGATGTATGTTTTAGTAGTAGGGAGAGATCAGTTTTCAGTAATCAATATTTTGTGCCAGAATAATTCCTCGGTTTATTGCTATTTGTTTGTTTGTTTGTTTGTTTATCATCTATCTAACTATTTGTTTATCTATTTGTTTATCCATTTATCTATTTGTTTATCTATTTGTTTGATTTCTATAGCTCCCATCTCAGATATTACATAATACCATAGGTAGTTGAGAATATTTATTTTAATGCGTAGCCCACCACCCTCCTTTTATTTTCTTCTAAATCTAATAATTTTCTTTCTCCTTCCCCCTCTTATTGCTGTGAAAATATAGGGGACCTTATTCTTAGGTCCCTTGGCAAACTTTTATGGTGGGCAAATATTTTTCAACTAATATTTTTATTAGTTGAAAATAACATGAGTCAGCTGTAGGGCAAAGAAACTCTTTTCTATGCCCTGTTATTGTTAGAAGATACTGACAGGGCTTTCTTTAAGCTCAGAAAATTTATCTTGACCAGTTTATGGCATAAGTATGTGAAGAATTAATAAAGATTAACAGTATTTGTTTACAGAAGTGTGTATCTGGTGTTTTACTGAAAAAATGCCCCATGTTTCTGATCCCCTCCCTCCTATTTCCTCTCCATTCTTTCCTGTCTTTTTGCTTTAGCAAAAATCCAACTTTAGAAAGCACCAGGAAAAGTGCTGCTGCTGGTGGTAGGAGATAAATGAAGGGATTAAAACCTACACCTAAATATTTCTTTAGGCAGATGTTAGGCCAGGGAATTATTTAGGGGCAAAAGGAGAGGGGGAGTTGAAGCAAGCTTAAGCAATCAAAAAATTTTCAATAAGATATATAATGGCAAGCAAGTAAGAATTTTATTTTTCCTTTGTAAATGGGAGCGTTGGAATTCAGCAAACAGCATGATCTTTGACAGAAGAATAAAATTGATACCATAAACTTAAGATTGGCCTTTAAGCACACCCTGCACACACACACACACACACACACACACACACACACACAGGGAGGAAGGGAGGGAGGGAGGGAGGGAGGGAGGGAGGGGAATTGAATAGCCTCATAAATGTATTTAGGATCATAAAAGTATTCACAAGAGATGAGCTTCTTTTGTCTTACCACAAGTCTAACTGATGTTTATATTGTGGGCACTTATAAAACCTACTAAAGGCACAAAACTCATAACACACACACACACACAAATATTTTGTCTTATCCTTTCAATTTCCTCTTTTCATGCATATAACCATTCAGTTTTAATTTTCAGCCATTTGTGTTTAATTTACCTGACTTCCTCTCTAATGTATAATTATCTTTTTAATGGGATCACGGAGGATTTTTTTCAAAAAAAGAGTATGGGGAAACTACCTTTCATTACTTTATCAAAAGGGTTTAGGTAATAATTAACTAGAAGGGGAAATGGGTGTTTGGAGTAAAGTTAAGAAACAAAACAAAACAAACTAGCTGCTGCCACCACATTTTTTTGGAAATCTTTGATTTAAAAAAAAAAACAGAATGCTGCAAAATGATGTTTTAACAGGTTTTCCAGCTCTTTAAAAGTAACAGAGGTGGAAACTATTTGTCACTTGGCTATTTTGTTTAATGAGAGGTATCCTAAAATAAAAGTATCTCAAAAATCCTCTATCTGAAAGAGGATTTACCCCAATATAATGATATTTACATAAATATCATAGTCTATATTAACTGGAGAATTACATATAATTGAGGCATAAAAATAAAATGATTATATTTAGTCTGATTCTGATAATTTAAGTTTGTGTGTGAGAGAGAAAAAGAGAGAAAAGAGGGGAGGTTCTACTCCACAATAGTCTATGATTAATAAAATTTTGGTTTATACTTACAGACCAGCCCACTCTAACCCTAGAAAAAATTTGAACAGTAATAGCAAACTATGTCTTTTAGTCGAAAAATGGAATAGGTTTGTCAGACATACATTGACAAAAAGTACCTTATTTTTATCAGTTTACCAGAAACAATTAAGCAAAATATCTTACATAGTTCCTTAGGAAAAATATTCTTTTTAACTGTTACAAACACACTCAGGTCCCATCTGAAATATTCCTATACATTCCGAAAGCTGTAAAAATACTTCATGCAATTTAAAAAGAATAATCTGTTACCATGAATGCACTCTAACATATACTAACACAATCTTAAATAAAATAGACGGGTAGAAATTCTCTTCAGTCCCGTTTCCAGATTCTGTAAGGCATGCCTAATCCATTACATGACAAAAATACATTAACTGTAGAAAATGAAAATCTTGGTCTAGTTAAACTAGTTTTCATGGGAAATTAATCATTGTACAGCATGGAAAGCAACTCGAAGAGTTATTTAATTGGACGGTAGATGGCAGCAAACAGCACCGAATGAGAAGGCAGAGGAAGAGTAAAAAGGCGAACAGTTAAAATAAAAGAATAGGTGCTCGGTTGGGGAGAGGGAAATTGCACGCATATAAACAACTTAGCTGTGTTGTTTAAGCAATAGGAATTCTTTCACGAGTGGCCTTTATCTAAATGGGCATAACCCACTTACAGGCCATCTTTTAACTTGAGAGTGATACTCCCCCACAAGAGCAAAAAAAGGCCATAAGGAACACATGAATATCGGAGAACAAGCGTTTAGAAATTCCACTAGTCTGAAAATGGAATAAAACCTATTGTATTAATACAACAACAACAACCATGATTCAACTCTCAAATGTCTGGTGGATAGAAAAGAAAAGTACAGAGAATCAGAAAGACCACATTAAATCTATATCCAACAGTCATAACTACATAGGAAAATGCAGAAGACATATTATTCACACGTTTTCATTTCCCCCCTTTTCTATTTTGTGCCGTTGTGATTTATTTGCAGCAAGGTAACGTTGATAAAGAAACTTCAAAGGCTAGGAAGTTAGATCATTTTTGTTTTTAAAATGCTTAACTAGCTGTTGAATACATTTCAAACTGTATAAGCAGTATTCGGTTCCAGGTAATAGTAATTATTTTTCAATAATATTTTTCAGATACTTGAACACTTTACTGGCAAAGGGTTAATTGAACACATCAACCAAGAAACATTTTAAATTATTCTGTAAGGATCCCTCCCTCTTTTAAAAAGAAGCATATCAATTAGAATCCATTAGAAAATATTACTATTTATAGAGCAACAAAAGGAAAAACAAGATTTCTAAATACTGATGGAACAACATGTACAAACATTATTATCATCTTTATACAGTAGGGCCGTATCTTGCAACACACATACATACAAGCACGTGCATTTTCTGTTAACGCCCAAATGTAGGCAGTGGATTATAGTCTGTTACCGCCCTTATATTACAATTTTGGGGTCTCTTACATCTTTAATTTAAAACCTAGTGCAGTTGAAATTTTCCCTTAATTGTATTTATTAACTGTTGTGACCATTCTCTGTCTTCTGTCTCTCCTCACCCTCCCAGCCTTACACAGACGGAACAGTTCGTTAGAAGAAAAATCACCTACGTCCATACAGAACACCCTGGAGAAAAGGATCTAAATCGAACTGGCTGCTGTACAGAACTTCTTAAAATGAGTGGATTCGCTCGCTGACAAGTAAGTCTCGATAAATCGTTCTTCCTGGGATGGGGAAGAGATTTGAAGGGTAAAAGAAAGAATGAAAAGAAGCCTACAGAAGGGGTTGTTATCCCCATATGTTAAATATATGTATATATATATATAAATATGTAACTATTGAGGTATACACCTCGAATTCTCTAGGTGACATGGATACCTTAAGCCCTCCCCCTCCCCCCTTCCTTCCTTCCTTCCTTCCTTCCTTCCTTTCCTTCCTTTCCTTCCTTCCTTCCTTCCTTCTCTTATACAATGATACATTTAACAATAGTTTTTACCACTTCATATTTTATATATATATTTATATATATTCATATAAAAAAGAAAGCAAATCTGTATTCGGTTCTTTGCCTCCTTCAAATAATATCAGCTTCAATTTTAGAAAATTGTGAGCTTACCTTTTGACGCCCATCTTTCTCTGGATTGGGAGGAGGAGGATGAAGAGGAGGAGGCGAAGGAGGAGGAAGAGGGGGGGGAGAGATTGAATTGCGTTTGCTTTTATATGTAAGCTGAGAAATATTGTCCCAACCTGATAGCCGTCCATTGCGACTTCTGATAGCTTTTTCCTTTGCCGCGTCCTTTTGTACAGAAAATGGAGTAACTTCCCTCTTTGAAAAATGACCAAAGCCTCCAGCCGGCACCGATTCTCCATTTCCCTCTCCATCATTCGAGAGAGAACCCGAGTCAGTACAGAGAGAATTGGAAAAGGAAGGATAGGTGGGGATCAATAATATTAGCTATTTAAGCTGAGTCCCAAATATCTGCGTGCATCTGTGCGAGTGTGTGTGTGTGTGCATGAGAGAGAAACTGTGTGTGTGTGTGTGTGTGTGTGTGTATGTGTGTGTGTGTTTGTGCCGGCGCTTCCCCTGCTCCTCCTCTATTTTTAGCCCTATTGAGCTTATACATGAAAGTAAAAAAAAAAATGTTAAAAGAGACGACAGTCCTACAGAGGACAGTGATCCGACCCAAGGTACAGCGGCCAAAAGAATGGTAGAATAACCACATGGGAAATCATAAAAAGTTCATGTTCACGGTTAGCAGTCCACATGACCAGCTCTGGCCAATCGCAGAACCCAGCCACTCATAAAGTTCTATCACAAAGTTGTAAATTTTCATAAAACAACAAGGAATTTATTGCATTTCTTCATGACTGCTTTAACAGCAGTCTTTTTCTCAGCCGCCATCTTTTCTTTAAAAAAAGAGGGAGAGTAGAAGAGAAAAGAATATACGAAGATTGGGGGGGGGGGCTCCACATCTCGGCGGGGGGCCTTAAACGACCCCTCTTTCATTAAAGGTTAAAAGAACCTCCTCTGCGAAGCCACCTCTCTGCACTAAGCCCTCCCAAGCTTTCCACCCTTCTTTCGCTATAGGGATTCACCACTGTCCCCATACCTGTAGTAGTCTGGAAATGCGAGAGGGAGGCACAGAAGCACTTGTTCTTAAATTATGTTTTGTTTCCTTTAAAGCAAAAGTAGTTCTCCATAGCTTAATCGGACTGGGGTGGGGAAGAATATTCTCTCCCGCGATTTCTCTTCCGGAAATTCGCTACTAAATTGAAACATTAAATGCCCCAGTTTCAAGACATGGGAGAAAAGAAACAAGTGTATAATCGGGTCGTAAGAAACATATTTAACGGAGTCAGACATATAGATGTTATTATATGTATGCATTTGCATGCATGTATGTATGTGGAACATGTATATTTACATATCTATGCATGTGTGTGTTTGTGTGTGTGTGTGTGTACACACAGACATACAAGAAGGAGGGAAAGAAAAAGAAAGAGGGAGAGAGAAAGAAAAAGAAAGAAAAGAAAAGAAAGAAAGAAAGAAAGAAAGAAAGAAAGAAAGAAAGAAAGAAAGACGGGGCGTATACCCGCACAGGCGCACTAAGGTTTTTGAAGGCGTACACACTACCGCAGTGGTACATGCCACGAACACAATAGTAGTGGTCCAATGCAGCAAAATCTCATAAGGTGAGTGATAGGACAGTTCAGGAATTCTGTTTCTGTCCTTAGAACTTATCCACTGAAATGACTTATTTTGCTTGAAAAGGGAACATAGATTTCTGCTTATTTGGTCTTTCAGATCCAAACCATTTCAAAGAAGAAATTATAGTATTCCCTCTCCTTATTTGTCTGGATATATTCAGACGGGTATAACTGACATGTTTTTGTCATGCAACCGTCAATTAACAGGGCAAAGCGATTATTTTCTAATTTATTTTGATAATTTTATATGTGCGTATCTATTTCACCTATCTTTCTATTGCACGCACATACTCACGCCCAATAATACACATCTCTTCTGTGTGGTATGGTTGAGGATAAGTGTAACTGTATGCAATATAATAAGATCTTATCTAAATATTATCTATTTCTTTTCATAATCTATAAATAATATTTTTAAAAAATTCTTTCTCCGAAATATTAGTGTACAGTTGAAGCCAAAGATATAATTGAAAGCTACTGGAAAGAAGAATTTTAAACATCAAAATAATGTTACAGAAAGTGTGAGTGAGTAAAAATAATCTATTTCTCATCACTTTATTTTTACTTTAAGTTTAATTAAGAGATGGGTGAAGCTTCGCCTTGATTTTTCCTATTTGTCACTTATCTTTACATTTTGACCATTTAGTACCTTACCACCAATGAAAACAAAAGCAACTCTGTATTTTTCAATCATAAAAAATAAAATACTAAGTATTTAAGATACCACTCCTCTTCTAGTTCTGCAATTACTGTTCCAGGATGTGAAAGTACAAAACTGAAAAACTAAACTGAAATGATGTGTTGAATGTTTCTGAAATTTGTTACAAAGTTATGTTGCCTTTCTGAGTTAAATCACTCTCATTTGTATTATTTTTTATTGTTAACTTTTACTTGCCACAGATAGATGTCCCCCTATAAAAAGCTGAAAGGTTAAATAAAGGTACAAATTGAGATAAATCTAAGGAACTGAACATTCATGTTTGGAATTTCATTTTGTTAGTGTTATTATTAGTAGCATCCGCGTATCTTTTTTGCTGTTCTTTTGTCTTTTGAAGAAGCTGATTAAGAAAAAGGGACTCGCAGAACAGAGTTTCTCTTCTTTTCTTAACCAAGGGTCTTGTAGAACCCTTAAGCAGAAAACCACAAACTTTAAGCCTCCATTCTGTCCCCAAAGTGGCCAAACTACTGACATTGGTAAGCCCATATGCCCGATATGCAGTGAGAATAAAATTAATTTGTGATTTTAACATGATGTGGTCAACTGAGGAGGATGCTGGATTTTTGCAATAGAATTGAAAGGAATTTTAAAATATGCATAACAATACGTGGAAGAAAATAGGAGTAGGAATTGGGAAGGAATATTTGAAATCTGCTCTCTCAAAGCATAGGCACCAGTTGGTGGACACAGGAAAGCTTCCCTGTTCAGATTAAATAAATGATATCCCCTACCCATGTAAAGCAGTTCAGTGTCACTTCGCACTGTGAGATGAACGCCATATAAGTTTGACAAATAAATAAAAAATACAGTCATTACTGGACACAATATTCATAATGTTATTTTTAATTATTTTCCCTTTTTCTACGCATAGTAATCACAGAATACAAATCAAAAAAGTTGGTAAACTATTAAAGAATTTGCTATCTATCATATACATTGGTTTTACTCAGCACAATATTAATTTCAGATTCTCTAGTGACGGTAAAAATGAAGTGGTCCATTGGCAAACATGTAAAAATATACATCAACAAAAAACAGAATGAAATAAAATAAGCAAGAAAAAAAAACAGCACCAGTAATCAGACGGTAGAGGCACAAACCTACGAAGAGGAAGACAGGAATCTTATAGAATTATATACAACAATCTTCTTCTGCTAAGTTTTGTGTTCCCTTCATACATTTGGAGTTCACGGTTTTCTAAGGAAAAGTGCTAACCACGTCCACATTTTTACTTCATAAACCATTTCTTTTAAATTACAAGAGGATCAAAAAGAGAGAAGTTTTAAACAAGAAAATTTACAAATACTTGGACTATATGTATACCCACATAAAAACAAAACAGTTACCTAGATTTGATTCTAAAGAGACATTTAATAGGTAGATTTCTTTTTGTTGTTGTACAAAAACAAAATAAAAGAGAGTAATGTTAATATAGGTAGTTTCCCAAGTGTCAAGAAGCAGAAGAAAGAAACAGTTTACTTAGATGTTTGTTTCTTGTTTCAATGTATAGTCTATTATGTTAATTTTTACATTTTCCTCTAAATTTGTGTAACAGTGCGGTCAGATTACTTTCTTTCTTTCTTTCCCTCTTTCTTTTCTTTTCTTTTCTTTCCTTTTTCCTTTCCCTCTCTTTCTATTCAGTTCCATTCTCTCCCTTCCATTTCCACTTTCATCCCTTCTTTTTCTTTCACTCTTCTTCATCTTCTTCAGCCTCTGGTTTTTCCTGGCTATTTGAGCCTGGTCCTGCAGGTTTGTTTTCTTTTTTCCACTTCATCCGTCTGTTCTGGAACCAGATTTTGATCTGTCTTTCTGTAAGACATAAAGCATGGGCTATCTCAATGCGTCGTCTTCTGGTCAAGTAACGGTTGTAATGGAATTCCTTCTCCAGTTCCAGGGTCTGGTATCTGGTATAGGTCTGGCGGCCTCTCTTTCTGTCAGTTCCTGAAAAATAATAAAATAGAATTTTACAAGCTTATTTTGGTTTTTCACTTCTTTATGTGCGTCTGTGTGTGTTTTAACATGTTTACCCGCAGGCACATTCACAATATACATATGTTTTAAACTACCTAGTTTTAATAACATATTTTCCTTATATAAAATCTGTATGTATTTTGTCACCATTAAAACAAATTAATAGAAAAGTATGATATGGCATACTTTGAATCTTTTTCAGCTTCTGTAGGCAGGAATTTAATATTCAGTTCTATAGTTCAAATAAATAATGCAATTATTAGATGCACAATTTAAGTTTACTGATACTTATTTGGAGGCATATCAGGTTGAGTTTAGGACAAGGATTGAAGGAATTTGGGAAAATTTAATGGTGATGCAAATTTTGTTTAGGGATATTCAATGCATTATTTTTTTAAATGTCAAGATTCCTGTCACTACCAATAAACATCAATAAAAATTATTGTTGAAAAACGCAAGCATGAATGAAAAGTTCTATAAAAAGCTTGCTACTTATTTTCTCATAAGATGTGTGATAAAAGTTAAATCATGCAAGAATTGAGGTGGATGAAATTACAAGGAAGCTTCTTCCCTGCAAAAATTTCCACATCTGGTAAACTTTAAGTTAGTGAAGGTTAATGTTAGGGTAAAGTTACTTCCTTCCTTTTCCAGGTTGTGTTTTATTTTATTCTACGCCTTCCCCTGAGGGGGAAAAAAATGGTATTTGGATTTTTTCATTAGGAATTTCGGAAGCTGCTGGGCTCAGTTAGTCGATATGGGAATTCCTCAAAGCAAGCGTCCTGTCTTTGACCACAAATATTTTACTCCGGCATCCAAAGAATCTGGATTCAAACCAGAAATCAATTCTGCAGTCATTTCTTGCTGGCCTGATACAACTAAAGGCTTTTGAGTAAACGGATTTTATCACCGGTTCTTGCCAGAGTTAAAAGACCCCCCACTTTACCTCTCTGAAATGTGTTGATTAACTTAGTGTGTTTATTGTTTAGCAAAAAAAGGGAGAGGGGGTGTAGGTCTTTGACTCTGTAAAAAGAGCAATAAAGCCGGATATAAAGAGGGAAAAAAATAAGCTGTCTCTGGGATGTGAGTTGTAAACTCTGCTGAACGGAAGGCTGTAAATGGCCAGTTTTGCTTTGGCAGTGGAATCTCCTAATTCCAGGCAAGGCGCAAGGAAATGCAGGAGATGGGGGGCATGAGGGGGGAGGGGGAGATAAGAGACAGAGGAAATAAACCCCAGTTTTCATTGCATTTGTCGAAATGGAGAAAGAAGCCATCAGACTTCTTTCAATAAGGGTGGTGGTGGTCCTGCTTGTGCTCCGTCCTTCAATATTGTCTTGTCTTCTTCCAGCACCAAAGCATAAAGAAGAATTTGCCCTGCTACCAGGAGCTGCTGCTATTGCTGGTTTCTATAAAGTGGAGGGAAAAAAGAAAGTTCTTGTTGATTGCCTCTCCTCCACCCCACCCTACAATCACTAAAGTTGGGCTTTGACAAGCAATCTCTAAACCATGGTTTATGGATTACCTAATAGAAAAGTTAATCTATTATGGTAGCCCCTGAAATTACTGAAGCTACTGTGCCTTCATGTTCATACACACACAGCCTTTGTTTCCCCCTCATCCCCTTTGGTCTCTTTTCATGCCATTTGGATAGAGACCTAGCCTGAATTTTTGCCTCAATCCCCACTTTCCATTCCAGAGGTATCAAATAATTACACGGGCGTATAGTACTTTTAAATAGAACTTTACCAGGGCATCAGTCAGGTGCCTCCACAAGCCGGGGACTACAGCTTATATTGTAGCTGACCATGATGGTAGATGTAGTCAACACATCCAAAGGGCATTGGAGTGAGGAAAGCTGCACTGGACTATCACTAGAAAATTGACAGATTTCAAAATAGTCATGGGTGATAGAATTGCCAAAGAGGGAGCCCTTCCTATTCCTATAGACATCCATTTAGTTTTCTGCCTATTGATCTGTGGACAACCTCAGACTGTTCCCTCTCACACTGAAATGACCACTTTCACTAACATTCTAGCTGTAGAAGAATGTGGGAAATTGGCCCTTTGCAATGTTCTCATTATCTCTAGCCTTAGTATTTGGGTCCAACAAAAGTCTAATCAATTTTCCTACATTCAATTATTAGGGAGGTAGGATCTCTCAATGGTTGATTCATGCCTTCCTCCACCTGTTAGTTCTTAAGAAGCATAAGCTTGAAAAGGCAATATTAAGAGACATCACCTTTTACAGTAGGTCCTACATATGATTACTCATAGGTAAATACTAGTTATTTCCCTTCAGACATGAGTGCATAGGATTGCAACATAAACATATTTCCCTTCCACTTCAAGCTTGAAGTTTCTGTGCTCCTTAGAAGTCTGCCTCTATTGGTTTTAATACAATGTGCTTGTTCTACTGGGATCCTGTAACAGTAATTGGTATAATGGAGTTGATTTGTGGGAGTAAGAAAGGGAATCACCAATCCCACCAAGCATGGAAGAGAAATCTGGCTCTCAAGAGTAGCACAGAGCTATTACTGGATGTGATAATGGTGCTATAACGGGTTAAGGACAGTTGAGCTTAGAAAGCCCAGTGATGGAAGCTTCCTTTCTTCCCTCTGGGTTTTGCAAGGTGCCTTAGAGTTTAACTTACATTGCCTTTCCTAACAACAGTACAACATTAGGTAAAAGACAGAGAAAAGTAGGCAGGTAAGACTGCTGGTACTTAATACAGACTACACACAATTGGGAAAGGGGATATTAGGTGTAACAAGCTCAACCGGTGCATCTGTTCTACTCTTATGGACTCCTTTGGTTCCACAAGTCCCTTATCTACATTCACGTTCCAAAATCTGACATACGCATATATTTTAATTTGATAAGGGGTGGGGGGGAATGATCTGATTCTCTTTCCAATTTCCAGAATCTGGTGAGTCTGAAGTGCATCTGTAATTGCACATCCTAAGGAGAGGAAGGGCAGTGTGTGTGTGTGTGTGTGTGTGTGTGTGTTAGTGTGTGTGTGTGTCTTAGGATTCCTGTTCTGATGGAATGGCCCTTTTGAAAACAAAACAAGCCCCACCGTGTGTGTGTGTGTGTGTGTGTGTGTGTGTGTGTGTGTGTGTTTAAAAATATTTCTACTGTGAAATCGAAATTGATGGCTCTGAAATCAACAAGAATCAACCTCCAGAGCAGGATCTGAGAGAAACTTCTGAGATTATGTGTTTGCAATCCCTAAGGAAGGTAGGGAAGGGAAGGGAAGGGAAGGGAAGGGAAGGGAAGGGAAGGAAAGGAAAGGAAAGGAAAGGAAAGGAAAGGAAAGGAAAGGAAAGTGAAACAAGACCGACTTTTTCATAGTCTGTCTCCTTCTTCTCTTCCACCCTCCCTTCTAATAGTACAGCGTGGTTTTCCGAAAACAGCCAGTCTTCGGCACACAGGAAGCCAGAAGCAGAAACAACAGAAGAAATAAATATTTAACCATTTGTTTGTTTAAGGATTACTTTTGTAGGGGATCTCAGCGAGAGAAGGGGGAGGGGTGGGAGAGATTCCTTTGGAGGCAAACGTCATAAAAGGAGTTCAGCACCATCTTATCCTCCCCCACCCCCAATATTACCTCTCCCCCCACCCCGCCTTTCCCCGGCCGCTGATCCTGGTTTCTCCCCGAGGCTTTCCCGCCACCTCCACCATTCTCCCGAAGGATCTCACCTGTGCTTCGCATCCAAGGATATATTCGCAAGTTGCTTTCGTGCCGCAAGTCCGTGTCCCTCTGGTCGCTTTTGTTACAGTTGGGCTTGGACGCGTCTCCCGGACACATCATGGAGAGGTTTTGCTCAAAGGGGGAACAGTGCATGTTGAAGGAGCTGGTGTCCAGACCGTAGCCGCTGGAATACATGCCGGGGGGCTGGGGGTGCATACCTCCCCCGCTAGGGTACAGACCAGGCATGGAAGCAGCGAAAGAGGCCGTGGAGCTGGAGCCATAGCCGGTGCGCTGGGCATTGGAAGCGAATGCGCAAGAAGTTTGCTCGGGAAATACTCCGGAGGGGAAAACCGAATTTGCGGCCTGATATTTAGAAAATAAAGCATTCGCATAATACAATGAACTCATAATCTGGCCGGGTGATTTGTAGGCCGGGACGTTTTAGTGTCGGTTTTACGAGGTACCGTGATATATTACGGAATTAGACTCCAGATTTACACCAAAAAGGACCCCCTTTTTCCTCCCTTGGCCACGTGACTCCAGTCCACGTGATCCGAATAGCACCAATCCGTTCCGACCTTCCTCCTCCCCTCTAACTCTCCCTCCCCCCCCCATTGAAACTGTTCCCCCCCCCCCCTTGTAATATGGAAAAGGGGAAAAACACTATGTATGGAGTAGTGGCCGGAATTTATACAATACGATGCATTATTGATGATAGGATAGATACTGAATCTCCCAAGCTAGAAGCGGGAAGGAGCGAAATCATGCGCGCGGAGTCAGGAACCCACCGTCTGCTGTATCAGTTCTCAAGTAAAGCTAGCAGGGGAAAGATGCAGGGGGGGGAGGCGGCGTGGCAAAGCAAATAAGAACGATTTGCAGTGGGTAGTGGCTACAAGCTAGGACAAGGAGAGAAGAAGAAATGCCGCGAAATCAACGGTGAGAAGTGAGATGCAGGAGCAGAGAAACGCACCCACTTGGTCGATCCAAGCAAGAAAGGCAGCCTTTAGGGATTACACAGGCAGATTTCTTTCCACGGGTTTGATTTTGTGTTCCCTCTCTCTTTGAAGTCTCTCCAGACTGGATATACACATACAGATATAATTTTCTCCTTTCTACCCCTGTTCTCCCTCCTGCTTAGTACCCAAGAGGAAAAAGCGGGCTTGAGAGAGTCAGAGAGCGAAGAGAGATGCCCGCCCTAACTCGCGGTCTCGGGGCGGGTTTTATAAGCCCACATTCCACTGGCATCTGCCGCCGCTCCCCATCCCCACCCCCCGCGAGGATACAGTCTCTGACCCGCACCAGCATCGCCCATCCGAGCACTGGGAGACTTACTATTTACTATTTCAGTTGCTACTTCCCCATCCCTCCCCGCTCCAGTAGCTCCCCTTCTGAATGCCATTCAATTCTATATGTAATTTATTCCACTGCCACAGGCGTTGAGCCTCGGAGCTCGCTTTGCTTTTTCTGGTGGCGGAAGGGGGAGCGAAGGGGGGGGCGAAGGAAAGATTACAACAGATCTCTATTTAAGCGTGTCAGCTCTTCTGCTGGACTCAATTATAGGGAGAAGGAAAATGTGACCAGCTGGTTACTCTGCTTTTTTGTTGGGGAAGCAAGGAAAGCTTCCAGAAAAAAAGGGGGGGCAGAGGGAAGAGAGATTAAAAGGCGCACTGAAACTTATCAAAGCCCTCTGTGACAAATAAGAATAAAACCGGCCTTGCAGATTGGCCGAGGTCCTCTTTTCAAGGTTAAATTGCCCCCCCCCCCCCAAAAAAAGAAAAGTGGGGAGGGATATGGAGGGGCATGTACATATCACGAAGTTCTTCATGGAAGGGTGGGGGTTACCAAAACTGACAATCTTCCAGAGTCTGTTGGGCTGGGGGGGGGGGTTAAGTCTCCTGTTAGGAGCAACAAGGTGGAATTCAGCAGTGGCAAAATAAAGGCACAGGCAGACATCATTAGTATAACTTTTCTGAAACTAAAAATATTTAGCCAATCTCCTAACCTGAAGCCAGGATAAGTCTGAGACACCTTTCATAGGAAAAGAACTCCATCTTCTCTCTCTGCCTTCCTTCCCTTTTCCCAAACTTCCACCAAAATTTCAGGTGTATTTTTCCCTGAAAGCCATAAGTTTCTTCTGTGTCTCTTAGAAGGCTTTCCTGAATGGCAGTAGCTGTTTTGGATGTGTATTTATTTTCCCAACCCTTCTCTTCTAGATGTCCAGGAGGAAGTGTTAAGCAGAATGAAAAAAGAACAATGTCAGGGGGAAATTGTGGCTTGCAAACTTTATTTTAACTCCTTTCTTCTGCCGTTTCCAGCTTCAACAATAGAACAAGGTGAAGAGAGAACAACAAAATATAGCATTAGTTTCCCCACCCCCAATAAAGTAATTCACGTATACAGTATACATTCTCTTTTTTCACAGTAAACCTAGGGGGGAGGAGACAAAAAAAAAAAACAGAAGGGAAAAACACTTTTTACAACTTCTTCCACTGTGTGCATGCCAACTAAATGGGAAAGGCAAGAGAGAAAACGAGAAACACATTTTTTATTTTTATTTTGTTTTCCTTTTTCTTTCTTTTTTAAAAGGTAAAAACACTTAAAAAGACAGATAAATAAAACAAAATGTGAATCCAAAAGGTAAGAGGGTCTGTGACAATCAAAAATGAAGACAACTACAGCATAAATAGGCAGTTTCATGTTGTTGGGTATATTTTTAGAGCTACCTGCAGAAGGGGAGTTTAACCACAACACGAGAAAAAGGCAGAAAGAGACAAGGAATGAGAGGGACACCCGCACACACACACACACACAGAGAGAGAGAGAGAGAGAAAGAGAGAGAGAGGTGTTTCAGAGGAGGGATGAGAAAAAAGAAAAATAGGAGTAAGGAAGAAAGTCTTCAAAAGTGCAATGTTGTGTATATTTTGTACATCATTTCCATAGCACTGGTCTCAAATAAGAGAAGGGGAAGAGAAGGAGGGGAGGTGGAGAAAAAAGAGAGAGAGGGAGAGAGGGAAATTTTTCACAGCCATGGTTAACAGAAGCTATTGCATTACACTATTACTAATTCTTAACTGGCCAGAAGATGAAAAATAACAAACAACAAGGCTAAAAAGACCCCAGGATGTCTCTTTTTTTTTTAAATATATAGTTCATTGTATGTATCAAAGGACAATCAGGAGAAGAAGACGCTCACAGCTATATTGTTTTACAGCAATAAAAGGCGAGATTCCCCTCCCCAAACAGTATTTATCCTCCCCCCGTCGGAACCACCGCTCACATTAACTGGAATTAATGGAAGGACGGGGGTGGGGAGCGGCTTTCTGAGGCTTGCCTGTCCAGTCTTCCAGCGCCTACTTTTTGTCCCCCGTCTGTGCTTCTCCGCCCTCTTCCACCTCCTGAGCCCTTTCCATTTTCTGTTTCTCCAATTCTTCTTGCTCACATTTGCTGCTGGGGAACTTATCTTTGTTGTTCTCCTTTTTCCACTTCATCCTCCTGTTTTGAAACCAGATTTTCACTTGCCTTTCGGTCAGTCCCAGGGCGTGCGAGACTTCAATTCTCCGCTTTCGGGTCAGGTAAGGATTAAAAAGGAACTCTTTTTCCAGCTCCAGGGTCTGGTAGCGACTGTAGGTTTGCCGGCCTCTCCTCCGTCCAGCGGCTGCTGGGGTGAGGGGAAATAAAAAAGGAGATTGAGAAGACACAGCCACCAGGTTAGGGGACTGAGGGAGAGAGAACGAAAGACGCGCGCGCGCGCGGGCACACACACATACATACACACACACACACAGACACACAGACACACACACACACAGACACACAAAGGCAGCGGCGGAACTGCCCTTCTTGTACGGTACAAAGGGGAGGTTAATTACACAGCTATGGATGGAGAGGGGCACTGACGAAGAGGTCCACAGATGCTCTCCCTCTCTGTTAGCCCGAACTCCAACCTCACCCGGGTTCCTGGGTAGCTCACTTCGCTCTCTCCTTTCCTCCCATCCCTGTCATTTTCTTGGGGAAATTATTCCCTTCCCGACATCCCAGGTTTCTGGCAAGAAAGCCCTCCCCGGCCCTTAAAACAACCGCCGCCGCCGCCTGCCCCCCTCGCATCTCCAGAGATTTAAAAGATAATAACCAAAGCGGCGAGAGAAGGGAGGGAGGAGGCGGAGGACGCCAAGGAGAGACACAAAAAGGGGGTCTCGGAGGTTGTAAAAGTACCATAAACTTTAGGGGAAGCTTCTCCGATTGAAAGAAGGAGGGGAGAGAAGTCCAGTTCTCTCCATTCAGGAGAAAAGGTTCCTTTCAGGGTAATTAAGCGATAAAGCAATTCAGAGGTGCAAAAGTTTGCGCTCATAAAACAGTACAAAGTAACCAAGGGTTGAGGTAGGGGGGAAGGAGGGAGGGGATGAAAGATAGTTGAAGAGGTGGGAAAAAAGGAAGGCGAAATTGCTTTATGGATTCAGGAAATGCCTTCTCGGCGGCTGGACGCCTGGCCCTTCCTGAGATGCCTCCTCACCTTGCGGTCTCATCCAGGGAAAGAGTTGTGTGGGAGACGGGCTCTGCTCCGAATTGTCCGCGTCCTCTCCCAGGCCGGTGGAGGCTAGCTTGCAATCCGGATACTGCACCAGGTCGGATTCCTGAGCGCTGAAGAGGCTTTGTCTTTGCAACGGGTCATAGCCGTAGAAGTTGCTGGGATCTCCGTGGCATGCTACGGCGCAGGGATTCTGTTGGTAAGGGGAGCTGGAGAGAGAGGACGCCCCGTGGTAGAACTCCTGGATCTGGGTGGGGTGCTGGAAAGTGCCCCCCGTGCTCGGCCCGTACACCACGGTCGGTCTCCCTCCGAGTTCCTGGGCGAACCCACAATCGTAGAAGTTGGGGCGCAGGGAGTCCCCAGTTTTGTACTTGGAGAAGAGGGAGTTGACAAAATAGGAGCTCATTGTCATATAAATATCTTATTTTAAATAGGTTTAGGTCTAGGTACCAGGGTTAGGGGAGATGAAAAAACACAGGATGTTAGAAGATAACGAAGAGACGCCAACCCACGGATCTTTGTGATTTCCAGGAATATATACAGATATGCATAGATTTTTTTTAAAAAAAATCCTGAGGATGGAGTCAAAACTCTTTTCCAATGAACATGGTATCGGATTCCGCTTTTTAAAATTGCTGCTGTTGTTGTTTGTGACTGTTGTTATTATTATTCCTCTCTGTATGTGTGTCTCTCTTTCTCTCTCTTCTCCTTTTTCTTCTTTTTTTCCACCTTCTTCTTTAACCCCCCCTTAAAATATATATGTATATATATCGGCACTTAAAAAAAGTTCTCGCTTTACATTTCCAAGGCGAGGTGCCAGTTCATAAACAGTTTTCCGTGATTTACTTCGGAGCAAATGAGTTTGTTCATATTTCGCAGTGTCTTTTCTGGATCATTTGCATCTATTACGGAACCCTCATCCTATTGGTTTCCACATACTCCACACGGACTCTGAACAGCCTGCGA